ACCTCGATCCCGTCCTTGTTCAAAGTCTTCTCCCAGTACTTGCTATCGGGACCGGAGAACAAATGAAGTACGATCTTCTTTGCACGATCCAACCGGCGGCGTGTCCGCCTGTTCCAGGGCACCCGATGGCCATCAAAACTCTGGCCTTCTTGAAGCTGCGACATGTCGGGGACGATGCGCATCAAGATCTCCTCCGGCAAAGAGGGGAACAATGCCTTCAACTGAACCGTCAAGGCCATCTCCAAGGAGTCCGGCATTTCCGCCAGTGCACCACTGTGGGGGTTTTCCATCAAAGTTTTGACCAGCAGCGCCTTCTTGAGGAAGTTGGCCTGTCGGAACGTCTGATCGATCATCTCTTGACCACACTTTCGGTCCACCATCGGGCAGCCATGCTGAATCACCACCTCAAGCTGTTGGCCCTTGTTGTCACGAAGGCTGCATTGCGATCCCTTCCAATCGAACTTGTAGCCGAGCTCCGCAATGCCTCCAAGGGGAACAATCCATGAGCTTCCAAAGGCATCATCATCCGGAGCCGAAAGCAGGACCTTGGTGCCAGTCTTCAACTTCAACTTGTCCGTGACACCATCAGCCAAAGTCACCTGAGTTGGCATAGCTTGTGCCCATTCAACTTGATCTCGAGCAGGCCGCAAAGCATGCGTAGCGCCCGAGTCCAACAGGACCAGCTGACCGCTGGGATCGTGCTCAAGCTGGCTGATCTTGATGACCCGTAGTTGAGGTGCCCTCAAGGATTTCAGCAGCTTCGTTGCTTCCTGCAACAACGTTTCACTTGTAGTTGAGGTAGCTCCTGTTTCACCACCTCCGCCACCTCCGCCCTTCGACACACCCTCCGCCGGCTGCGCCTCTGGGTTCGGACTTTGTTGATGTCCTTCAGAGCTCAACTCCATCTCCTGCAACTTGACCACCGAAGGCTGTGCGCCCCCCCCACCACCAGCACCATTTGAAGACTTGCCAGCACCGCCCGGCTTTCCTCCCCCTGAGCCCTGTGAAGGCTCACCCGTGCCTTTGCTAGGTGAGGTGAATTGCGTCTTGCCTTGGGACTTCAACTTGCAGTCAGATTTTCTGTGGTCTTTTCCACCGCAGATCCAACACCTGGAGGCCTTGTCGTCGACCCCCTCCCACGAGTGTGACCACTTGCAATTCTTTCCAGCCTTGCAGCCACTGTCGGACCTGAAGTACTTGCAGGGCGTAGTTGACATAGCCCCACCCTTGCCTTTGTTGTCATCTGCAACTCGTGTGGCTGTAGCTGACTTGTCCTGTGCCTCCATCTGCTTCACCTTGATGGGCGATGAAGTGGTCGTAGGGGCTGTGCTCATCAACACCAACGTCTCGACCTCCGCCAAGAGGCATTGACTGAAGCGCCAAACCCCATCATGATGCGGAACTTGATCCACACCAAGCTGCAGCCTGCTCTGGGCCAGACGAAAAGCTGCCTGGGCATCCAAGTTGGAGATCTTGATCACTGCCGCCTCCAGCGCCTTCAACAACAAAGTGCCATCTGGCAAGACGGCGCCGATCTCTCGAGCCCTTGCAAAGTGCCTCCGCCATGACCTCAGCGAAGCAGCCCATTCTATAACCGTAGTGGCCTTGTCCAAACTTGTCAACTTGGCCAGCAAAATCGACTTCTCGCCTGCACCGCCAGGTTGAAACCTCACCAGAAGCCGATACAGGAGTGCCGTGGATGTCAATTCACGATCCGTGATCAAGGCCTGCTGCTGGTCCACAGGGATGGCCTTGAGAAGAAGGTTCACACCTCTCTGTTCCGTCCGGTGGTACCGAACGTCATTCAACTCATCAGGAAGGCGAGGCATGATCTGGATCCGCTCAAGTGGAGATGCGGTCTTCCATCGATCATAGTAGCATTGCGCCTCCCTCAACGTCAAGTTCCACCACCGCGCTGACACCGCGGTGATGTCCCGAAGCACCGGCCCGCAAACCGCGAGCCAATCGCCAAGCTCCAAGGGCGAAGCATCCGCCGCCAACGTTGCAAGCTCAGCCTTGCTTCCACCTCCTTCAGTCCATGGCAAAGGGGCCGGAGATGAAGGAGCATCCCCTCGCCAGCGACCGTAGTTATGCTCTCCGGCCGCATCAAAGCTTGAACCATGGTCCATGGAGCCACGATCGGGATGACATTCGATGCCATGTCCACAATCACCACCTGGCCACCCTCCGGGACCACAAGCAAATTCTCGGAGACCAGGACCTCGCAGGCCAACAGTGCCTCCATAACCAGCATGCGCAGCTCCATCCTCAAACCTTGGCGGAGCCGGTGGTGCTTCTTGCGAGCTTGAAGGCCCCAAAAACGAAGCTCCTTGGCGCATGCACCCCATCCTCTCTCTCAGCTCAGCCACTTCTTGCTCCAGTCGCGAAGCCCGCAACTCATGAGCATTGAGTGGCATCATCACCCTCCCTTCTCTCAAGCTGAGGGGCAACCATTGTTGATCACCGTGACGGCGTCGATGAGCATCTAAAAGCTCGTAGCCCTGCAGGTCACTAATTTCAGCCGAGGTGCAAGACGTTGGGAACGGTGGCATAGGCACTTCCATGCTAGTCGCTGCTCTCGGTGGGGAACCAGGAGGAATCTGCGTTCCATTTGGGGTGAATCGAACATCACCTTGCTCTTGATGTCCACGTCGTGACTGGCTTCGACCCCGTGGAGTGTGTGGTGGTTTCACTCCTACTCCATTGCTGGTTCCAGGAAGATCACCGCCACATACCTTAACATGTTGACCAGGTACATGACCTTCAGCATGACCAACATGGGTTCCCTTCTTTTCCAAACCCACCTGCTCCCACGAAGACGGCGTGGAAGGCACACCATCCGAGGCCCGCAGACGGCGAAGCTCAGCAACCTCCGCCATCAACACTGCGTTTTGCTCCTTGAGGAAGGTGACCATCTCAGCTTCGATGGCTCTTTGTAGGCCATCATGGTGCTCTTTTGCTTTTCTCTCCCCCTGATCCTTCGAAACCTCAGACCCGGGGTTCTCAGGCGTTGGAGGCATGGGCCCCATAGTACGGGCAGGTTGTCGACCCTTGGCTTCACGAACCATCTCCGGCATCGCGCCGTGAGTCCGCTTCCCACCACCCCGACCACGATCTTCTTCCTCCTCCCTGCGGCTTGGGGGTGTGACAAACAGTCCATTGCCTCCACCTTCAAGGGCCGAAACACCTCGTCCCTTCCCACAGCCACCGACGCGGTCACCTTGCGTCTCCAGCAGGTCGGAGTCATCTCCATCGTGAGGTACAGGGAGGTCCTCAGGTCGTGCATACCTCAGGAGCGCCTCCCGCTTGCAGCGGTCCGACCACCATGGATTCAACGGTGGCATGGAGCGGGACCGCTCACCCATGGCGTGTCACTTGGGCTCATAACCCTCGTTAACAAAGACAACGCGCCCTTTTCTTCGAACACAAATGCCTGAAGTCGTGTTGACATGTTCGATGTTCTCACCGAACGGACCCAGAAACCACTTCCCAGAAACCACTTCCCAGAAACCA